CCAAGAACTTTAAAAAAAATTCTAAAGACGAAAATAAACACATGCACACACGATGTGCTTACAGAAGCAGCCAATGGTTTATAGGCATCCTAAATGGCAGATGGCAAAAGTGAGTTTCCCGGGGTTTTCTAATCTTTATGTTCTTTGTAATGGGTCTCCACATTACTATGCTTTGTGTTACCAAACTAATGACAAAATTAAATACCTCTATAAAATCAGACCATTGTACAGCAAACTATATTCTTTAATAACGATTATACCCTAAACATAGGCTATGAGCAATTGGACTTAAATACTATTGAATTATATTGCCTGAACTATGATTTGTTTGATTTTTGACTGGTTCAGTTCATAAGGGCTTCCACTAAGGAGGACACTTGGTCTTTGGTTATTACTCTTCTAAGAGTCATCATAATAGTCTTCCTCAAGTCTTAAATGTTTGCATGAAGCCATCCATAGAGGTCTCACTTTGACTAAATCAGCAAGAACATAAAGAAATATTCAGGCTCAGTGCCTGTAGCTCAGCAGCTAGGGCACCAGCCACATACACCAGAGCTGGTGAGTTCCAACCCAGCCCAGGCCTGCTGAACAACATTGACAACTACAACCAAAAAATAGCCAGGCATTGTGGCAGGCACCTGTAGTCCCAGCTACTTGGGAGGCTGAGGCAAGAGAATCACTTAAGCCCAAGAGTTTGAGGTTGCTGTGAGCTGTGATGCCACAGCACTCTACCGAGGGTGACATAATGAGACTCTGTCTCAAAAAAAAAAAAATTCACCTGATGTGACTGTGACTTATGAATTCCATCATGAAACCAAATAAGTCCATTATGATGGTAATGAAGAATGGCATCAACACCCAAGGTTTTGGTCAATCTCTCAAAATTAGAAGACTAAAAACGGGGGGGAGAGGGGACAGCAGTTTTAAGTAAACTAAATTTGGCAGGAGAATGCCTCTATACTTTGAGTCCTTAATTAACAAACCACACTTAGCACCACAAATTAACTGAAAGTCTTAGAAGTATACTTTTGTAACAAATAGTGACATCTCAGCCAACCAGAGCAGCTCAGCTTCAGTCAGTTACAGACTGTCAAATGATCAGACCAAGTTCAAATAAGGCAAACATTGAGCTATAACCAATGAAGCTATAGCATATTTGGAACCACAGAACTAACTCGTGTGGTTCCATTTGTGAAAATACTATAATAATCCTTTTGTTTGGTTTGTTTGGTTTTTTGTTTTTTGCCAGGGACAGGTTTGAACCCACTACCTCTAGTATATGGGGCCAGCACCCTACTCCTTTGAGCCACAGGTGCCGCCCTATAATAAATACTCTTTATAGAAATACATAACCTTTTTTTTCTTTTTTTGAGACAGAGTCTCAAGCTGTCGCCCTGGTAGAGTGCTGTGGTGTCACAACTCACAGCAACCTCAAACTCTTGGGCTTAAGCAATTCTCTTGCCTCAGCCTCCAGAGTAGCTGGGACTACAGGTGCCTGCCACAAAGCCCGGCTATTTTTTTGTGTTGCAGTTGTCATTGTTGCTGTAGCTGGCCCAGGCCGGATTCCACCCACCAATTTGGTGTATGTGGCTGGCGCCCTGCTGACTGAGCTACAGGAGCTGCCAGAAGTGCATAACCTTGTTGTTAACCTCTTTGTTCCTAATACCAAGAGACAATACATACCTACTACCAATTGAAGTGCAGAGACAGAATTTACAAATTATATGTACTATGAACACTATCTCATACTAACTGATAGAAAATGATAAAGCAGTGTGTCTTGGGTTAGATTATTTTTTCCTTTTAATGTAAATAATCTCCCTTGTCAGGCTTAAGTTAATTCCAGTCTCTCCTACTCCTTCCCTGTGTGAACTTTAACACAGTAAGGTACAAAGTACCAAGTACCAATAGAATATAAAGATAAATAAAACAAACACAAAGAGCCACATATAACTTAAATCTATTTATATACTCTGTTGCTCTTTTTTCTTTTTTTTTAATATTGTTTTTATTTTTTCAGTTTTTTGTTTTTTGTTTTTGTTTTTTTTTTTGGCTGGGGCTGGGTTTGAACTCACCACCTCCGGTATATGGGGGCCAGTGCCCTACTCCTTTGAGCCACAGGCACTGCCTAATGTTTTTTATTTTTTTATTTTTTTTTTTTTTAGAGACGGAGTCTCTTACCTTACTGCCCGAAGTAGAGTACCATAGCATCACAGCTCACAGTAATCTCCAGCTCTTGTGCTTAAGCAATTCTCTTGCCTCAGCCTCCCAAGTAACTGGGACTACAGGCGTCCACCACAACACCCAGCTATTTTTTTGTTGCAGTTTGGCCAGCACCAGATTCGAACCTGCCACCCTTGGTATAAGGGGCCGGCACCCTACTCACTGAGCCATAGGCACCGCTGTTGCTCTTTTTGCAACCTACAAGGAAACACTGTCAATTACATGCAGAAAGGAGATGAGCAACTGGTCACACGTAAGAGTGCAGCAGAGAGCATCTTATCAACATAAACCTTACCATATGGCTAATTGCTATTTGTGGTTTTACATTTGTCTGCATATGACCTTTGGTTCAAAACAGGACACTCCCACCTGGATGGCCTTACCCTTATCTCTGAGGGTGGCCAAGAGTTTACCTTATGTTCACCTTGCTTACAGTTATTCTTACTTGAGTCTGTATCTCAGGTAAGGTTGAAGATTCACCTTCAACCTGTCAATCTTTGCAGCAGCAAGGAAATGCAGTTAACATGATTTACCTCTTGTGGTCTGATACTACCGTCAGTGACTGAATCTAAGAAGTTAATATGTTGTCTATAATTTATCCATGACTCTCACATTGGAAGCAAAGCCTGTACTTTGATCCGCTGGACATAACACAAATTTTGAGGACATTTACAACTAACCTACCAATACCTACGTGTATAATACAGACTTCAAAATTCACACCCACAGGTGTTTCTAATGGTTTGACAATCAACATATAGTATTTACAAACAAAGAACAATTTCAAGTTCACACAATTAACTCTGCTACATTTGCCTACCCAGATAGTTCTGATAGTTCTGAATCTAAAAAAAACTAGTCTCAAGTCTTCAACTGGCAACAAATTTAATTCTCACAAAACTAAAAATGTATATATTAAGAATAATGGAAGTTAACTTTTATTGACCATTAATGCATGCCACAGATTGTATTAACTAATTGAATCCTCGCTACTGTTTTTTTTTTTTTTAGAAACCAAGTCTCACTTTATCACAGTAGGTAGAGGGCTGTCGCGTCACATAGCTCAGAGCAACCTCCAACTCCTGGGCTTAAGTGATTCTCTTGCCTCAGCCTCCCAAGTAGCTGGGACTACAGGTATTCACCACAACACCCGGCTATTTTTTTGTTGCAGTTTGGCTGGGGCCGGGTTTGAACCCGTCACCCTCGGTATATGGGGCCAGCGCCCTACCCACCGAGCCACAGGCACCACCCATGAATCCTCACAACACTTGTGGATATACTCTGCTCATCTTCCTTTTATAGTCAAGAAAACTAGGACACAAAGTTAAGTAACCTGCTGTCAAGTCCCCATAGCCAGACAATGCAGAAGTAGATTCCAACCTAGATTGTTTAACCCCAAAGCCCAAGTTATAGATTAAGTTACATTTCTATCCTTGACCTCTGCAGCAACAGAAAAACAAAAAATAAAAAACAATGAATAAACACCCTAGAAGTCACAATAATTGAGAAAAGGCAAAATGTGAAATTGCAACTCTGTGAGGAGAGAACGTTTATTCAGTGAAAGAATTAAATTAAATGCATGAGTAAACTCAGTTCTTGGCAAGGAAAATGGGGGGAAGAAGGCAAGGCGAACAACAAAACCTACAGTTTCACAATGAACACCCCCATTATTCTAAGCAGCAACCTTGACAAAATCTTGCCTAGGATCACTACACCAATCAAGAGAAGCACCAGTAGGCATCAATTTCTTAACCAACACAAATATTCTCAACATACAACAAAAAGAATTCCTAAAACCAGCTCAGGTAAAGCCAAAAACATCAAGCTTAGAAATCAAAGCATGTGGGGCCCAAACCAGTGGCTCACACCCATAATCCCAGCACTCTGGGAGGCCAAGGACAAGTGGATTGCCTGAGCTCAGGAGATCCAGACCAGCCAGGGCAAGAGTGAGGCCCCGCCTCTAAAAAAAAAAGGCAGGTTGTGGCAGGTGCCTGTAGTCCCAGCTACTTGGGAGGATGGCAAGAGGATCCCTTGAGCCCAAGAATTTGATGTTGCTGTAAGCTATGATGCCACGGGTGTCAAAATGACACTCTACCAAGGGTGACAAAATGAGAAGCCTGTCTCAAATGAAAAAAAAAAAAAATCAGAGCCTGTGATTTTAGTGCAGTCACTAGTTAATTGTGAGATCTCCGGCAAGTCACTTTTCCCTTTTGGGTTTCAATAACCTCAATTGCAGGGTTAAGGGTTTTAACTAAATGAAGGTGTAACTGTGAACTCTAACACTATGTGAAACTTTGTAAAACTTGGAAAGGTTCGTGCATACATTTAAAACACCGTGAAGTACGGGTTCTCTGACCAGAATGTACACTTCTCAGCCACCATAAGCCCTGGCTGGAGGACACAGACCAGCTTCCAAGCCCTTGGGGCACAAAGAGCAAGGTCAAGGGCTGCCGTATTAACCTCTGCGTATACTATAATCCATGTCAGAATACTAGGGATAAAAGCACCAGCAGGGGAAGAAGAAATTACTGTGCCAGGTCATCAGAAACATTAGTCAAGACCTCTCGAGTGACAGGATGAGGCCCAGAGAGTGCAAACACCTTGCCCCCTGTTACACAGCACGAAGCGGCGAGATCGGGACTAGAACCTGATCTCTCGGCTCCCGGCGCGGCAAAGGCTCCTTCCGTGTACAGAGGAGCAGGAGGGAGGCCAGGCGGCTGCGCGGGGGGCGGCCCGAGCGCAGGGGCGGCGGGGTCTGCGGGGGCGCCCCGGGTTACCTGTGTCTGCCCCTGCCCCGGCGTGCAGCAGTCTAACCTCCGGCCGCTGCCTGTCGCCGCCCGGCACCACCTGCCGCAGGAGCAGCCTCACTCTCCGGGAGGCCGCGCCGCGGTGGCCGCCGGGTGCCCTGAGGAGAAGGAGCCGGGACTGCATGGGGTCTGGGGGCGCCGCCGGGACGGCGAGGGGGTCGGGTCGCGCTGCGTCCCGGCCGGGCAGCGTGAGGCGGCCGGGCGGAGGGGACAGGAAGCGGCCCGGGCCGAGTGCGCCGGAAACTCCTTCCCCCGGTGCTGCAGGCTCCGAGGCCTCGGCCCGGGCCGCGCGGGGAGGTCTGTGCGGGGAGCAAGAAGAGGTCAGGAGGGCCCGGGTGCAGCCGTTTGACTTACACCAGAACCCAAGCACCGCGAACGACAAAGTCGCCAGCGTGGGCACGGCCGAGGATGGATGACTTCCTAAACCCGACGCCTTCCACGCTGCGCGCTCCTCTCTGTGACAACAGTTTATCATTAATCTTTATGGCAAGACAATGCTGGTCACGAACCGGGTTTTTGAACATTCGAAACGTTGCCCTTGCCCCACAGGCCAGGACCTCTACTCCGTGGAGCTGGATCTGTTGTCTGTCTCCCAATAAACTTTGTCTCGTTGGCGTACTCTCAAATTCTTGCCAGTGTGAAGCCGAGAACCCATTTAGCAAGTGCAGGGGCCTTTCCTCCCTTCATTAGGACACCCGCTGCATCAGGAGGCTGCAGAAGCTGCAGGGGCAGCCCGGGAGCCGGCACGGGGGGCCAGGCCCACCAGGATGCTCCTGCAGCCGAGCTGCAGCTCTTGGCCCAGCGTGCCTGCCGCTGTCCCCAGACCTGCGTACCTCCTTCCCGTGCGGCCCTGCATAAACTCTCAGTTCAGGGGATGCCAAAGGGTTTAGGAACATCTGCCGATAGGGAGCTTCAGATTCTTGCGCTAAATCTTCTTTTCTTAGTTAATGGCCCAGTTTTGTTACAGTGCACTCGCCCTGTATGCTGCTTCAAATCCTTTTCAGAAATTGAGAAAATAGGCACAAGATTATGGAAACTTCCACCTATCTTTTTTTCCCTCTATCTTGATTCATTGTAACCACACCTGTGTTTCCATAGTGCATTTCAAAGCCTTGCTCTTTGTCTTTCTTATGCTGGTTCTTTGTTTCTACGTTTTATTGGAAAATTCACATCTTAATGATACATAGAAGTTGCTCGACACCAGAAAGGAGCTAAATCAAGCAATTTTTATGTCATACTGTAATACAAGAGTTATATAAACATAATCTATGTCTTTAGTAAGAGAAAAGTAGGACACTGACTAAGGCTGCCTCCCTTTCATACATTCCAGCCGCGGCGGAAGCGGTTGTACCACAAAGCGAACTAAGCCTAATATAATTAGACTTATCCTCAAAATGTCAGGAGTGAATTGACAAAGGCAGAAAGTTTGAATCAAGTTATACAAAACAAACATCAAACAAAAAGAATGCAGAAGACGTCACCTTCAGCTGAAGGCCTTGCTAATTCTAGAGCTGCCACGGTCTTTAAACACATATTGACCCCGCTACCAGGTGCATGACCCTAAGTTCTGAGAAGAAAGTGTTAAAGAGGGAAGAGGCTGTGAAAGAGAAAGGAGGCTAGGTAAAGAAGTTTTTGTACATCTGGCTGAAGGACTTGCAGTTGAAGAATAAAGGCTGAAACAGGTTTCTAGCCTAGCTGGGGAGGTAGTGAAAATAAAGGTAGTAAATATTTACATGATGCATTGACAGCATGGTTTCACCGGTATGTTGTCATTTCATCCTCACAGCAGCCCTAGGAGACGGCCAGGGGAAATGACATACATTCAGGATGGAAACTTATAAAATATTTTTCCTGCTGTGAGCACATGCTATGTGCCAGGCATTGTGCTGAGCACTTTGATGAATTGTTTCATTTCACACAACAATGCTTGACTGAGGTACTATTATTATCCTCCGTTTTACAGGAGAAAGAATGAAATACTTTGATCTAGGCATCTCCGTTTAATCTTACTGGATACGCACCTGAGAGAAGGGAAAAACAATCGAAAGCAGTTTAGCAAAATGACTTTTATAAACATAAAGAGAATTTGGAGTGAAGACCACAGGGAGATCAACACAGGTTCATACATTCAACAACATTTAGTGAGTCACTGCTGGATAAGTAGTACTCTGTTAGCTACTGGGAAGCAATGGGCGCTTCGAGTAGAGGAGACAAACATACAAATAAAGAACGACAATGCAGTGGGACACACGTGCAAAATATTTCAGCTCAAGGTACTCTAGGGTGGAGTGCTACACCTGAGAGAGGTAGTGAACCTTCGCAGAGCCAGTGATGTTTGAAATGGTTCTTGAAGGATATGCGAGAGTTTGTCAGCCTGAGAAAAAGGCAAGTCAAATCTGGCAGAAGATCACATACACAGAGCTGAAAGGGCCTGTCAGAACTAAGAATCAGAGAGTGATTCAAAGTGTCTAGAGGTTAAGTACATAAAACATCACGTAGGGGCTCGGCTGTGGCTCAGTGAGTGGGGCGCCTGCCACATGCACCGAAGCTGGCAGGTTCCAACCTGGCCAAGGCCTGCTAAAACAATAATGACAACTGCAACCAAAAAAAGAAAAAACCCAGGTGTTGTGGTAGGTGCCTGTAGTCCCAGCTACTGGGGAGGCTGAGACAAGAAAATCGCTTGAGCCCAAAAGTTTGAGGTTGCTGTGAGCTGTGACACTATGTTACTCTACCAAGGGCAACATAATGAAACTTGGTCTAAAAAAAAAAAAAAAAAGAAAAACAATGTTAGTGACCAATCTGCAGAAATTAGGCAACACAATAATGTAAAAGATTTAAAATGGGTATTAAATGTAAATTCAGTGTCTGAGCCAAGTGTGGTGCTCATGCCTGTAATCCTAGCACTCTGGGTGGCTGAGGTAGATGGATTGGCTGAGCTCAGGAATTCAAGACCAGCCACAGAAAGAGCGAGACCTCATCTCTACTAAAAGTAGAGAAATGAGTAGGGAGTTGTGGTGGGTTCCCATAATCCCAGCTACTCAGGAGGCTGAGGCAAGAGGATCGATGAGCCCAAGAGTCTGAGGTGACTGTGAACTATGAAGCCATAGCATTCTACCCCAGAATGACTAAGTGAGACTCTGACTCAAAAAAAAAAAAAAAATCCATGTCTGAAGGGTATCTAGAAGTCTGAATTACTATGATGGTTATCTTCCATTATATATGGGTATATAAGAAGAAGTTTATAAAAGGCACATTGTTCTTCTGTTCTTTTTCCTCCAAAGGAGCAATTTCTAGGTTTTTCTCTCTATTATTCGGTTATATTTGCCCACCAGAATGCTCCGTTTGCTTCTTCTCATGGAATCTAACACTTGCAGCTCCCAGAGCTGCTGAGGCTGTCAATCAACTAACCCCACCTCCTCAGCCACAAAAGTTGGACCTATGACTTGGATTCATAGTGCTTTACCCAGCAGCAACGATAAGAAGCTTTATCAAGGATAGTCTTGATACAGGGACTCTTTCTACTAATTTTTTACTAAAGTTACTGAAGCTCATATCCGCACATAGGTCCAGAACTGCCAGGGCCATCTTGGTTATAACTCAGAAAGAGCTTGCCTGGGACAAGACAAAAGCAAAACAAATGAATAAGATTAAGGGAAATAACATATCGTTGCAATACGCTTTGAACTCACTCTGCATCAGCCAGGTCTGAAATACCCGTTTTGATATCCATAGATAAATAAGTATCGACTTAATGTATACAAGTAAGCTTGACTTAGCTTTGTACCATCCAAATTTCCTCTTCTTTTTTTTTTTTTTTTTTTT